AAGGGGAGGGAGGGGGAATGGGGAACGGTCAGTCATATGTAAAAAGTAGACGTAGAAAGAAAAAAATAGTATTATAATGACTAAACCTTTTGACCAATCAAACTCATTATCCAAGGTACTACAATCTCTCAAAAAGTTAAGGACCACTTGCAAAAGTGCACACAAAATAGAAACCAGTAATTAAAATTATTCCTTCTTTCACATACATTTAATTCATCAATCCATATGCGAAAAAAGATATTTCATTACAATCGAAACCGAAATGCGTAATTCCCTGCTCTCAAAAGGGACCCACCCTCAAAATCGAAAATCACTAGAGAAAGGGTCCAAAAAGTCTCAGCACTATAAAAGAAAACGACCAGTTTAAGCTCGTGAATGTCAATGGAATTTTCAGAAGCGCGTGTGCCTACCATTCAAGGCAAGGCAGTCAAGTACCGCTGGCGCGTAGAGTTGATCAGGCGTGCCAGAAAGGCCTGGGGAATGTAATCCTATTCTTGTTGCAGCCAGCCAAGCAGCTGCTGTCGGTTGGCGGGCAAGGGTGGTTCTCCCGAACTCTCCGACCAAGCGCAGCCCACAATTGTTCAATAGGATTGAGGTCTGGCTGTTGGCTGGGCAAACCATGCGGGTAATCCCCGCTTGCTGCACGAAGACGTTGACGACCCTGGACCTGTGCGGCGTGGCGTTGTCGTCCTGAAAGACAGCAGCAGGCCCAATCTGCTGCTGCGCCAGGACGACCAGAGGTCGAAGGATCTCCCCCTGCCCTGTCAGGATACCGTCGACATGGTAAAGGGGGGTTCTGTGATGCATGCTGACCCCCCCCCCCCCCACCAGCTATAATAGAACCAACTCCAAACGGAATCACTTCTTGAACTGCCTTGGCAGCAAGCTGCTCCCGTTGACGCTTCCAGATGCGGGTTCGGCCATCACTGAGTGTCAGACAGAACCGAGATTTATCAGTGAACAGGACCTCTGTCCACTAGGCACATCTCTGTCTCGTTCTCCCTCTCTTTTTCGTCTGCTTCTCACCGAAGACTGTTCTTAGATTCCTCTGTTGGCTCGCTGGTTCTGGGTCAGCTTAGGTTTTCTGACTGAACGACGCGAACGAAGGTTGACGTCATGAAGGCGATTACGTATTGTTTGTGAACTGACTGTGATGTTGGTGGCAGCTCGCAGACGTCGCCTGATGATGCTGGCAGAGTTAGTCCGCTGTTGTGTGGCTTTTGTCCTGGTGGTATGTGGCTTGACGCAGTAATACTGTAAAACAGAGCTGAAACGGTGGCTTATGTAGGAAGACCAGTGAGCACAGTTTGTAGTCAGAGGTGCATTCTTCCACGTACATCTCGTTTTTACCGCGCAGAAAGCCCCAGGTATAGCTCACTGGCTTTTGAAACTCGGTCCAGTTTTGCGAAATTGCAGATTTTCACACGCACCAAACCTGCCACATGACTCGCACGTGCCACCCACACAGTAATTACCGTATTCATTATTGACCCTTTAGCCTTGCTACTTTATTTTACAAGATAAATCTGATTGCTTTTTTTTTTAAAATAATTTTAATACGACCTTTTATCCTGACTGATCCTTAACTTTTTGTGAAGACTGTATAATAGTAAGAGCACATTTTGTTGATGTCTTGAATATTTCAGCTCTGAGCAGAAAAGTAAGCAAGGCGAGCCCATTGAATTCTACTCCTTTTATTGCTGGCCCTATCTATCTGGAACTTTCTTCCACAACATTTGAGGGATACAAAGGGGGTAGAACATTTTCAAAGTTTGAAATACGTTTAAAAACTTGTTTAATGAAATGCCATCTTGTTTGTATTTCATTCTGGTTCATATCTTATTCGGTACTCTTACGTTCATAGTGTGATGTGCATATTGCCATTGATTGTGTTGAACATGATAATACACGCTTGAGTGTCTGCTTATGTGTCATTGTTACTCTAAAGAGTGTATATATGTATATTCCTGCTTATGTATTTTGCGTTAAGATGAAGGCATAGTAAAGCGCTTAGAGCAGTATTGTACGGCAGTGGGCGTTAAGATCTGTGTGAGTAGTAGTAGTAGTAGTAGTAGTAGTAGTAGTAGTAGTAGTAGTAGTAGTAGTAGTAGTAGTAGTAGTAGCAGTAGTAGTAGTAGTAGTAGTAGTAGTAGTAGTAGGAGGAGGAGAAGGAGGAGGAGGAGAAGGGGGAGGAGGAGGAGGAGGAGGAGGAGGAGGAGGAGGAGGAGGAGGAGGAGGAGGAGGAGGAGGAGGGGCGCCGCAGTAGTTTAGTTGGTATCCTGCTCGTCTGTGCAAATGGCTTTGGTTCCAATCCCCAATGGATATTATGGATAATTCTTGTGTTTGCTGTGTTTTTTAAGCTCTCTACCTGCTTGACAGCCTTGACTGAGGTTAGCCTTAAGATTTAGATACTTGCCTTACAGTGATGAAGAGGGCATGAAACAAATGTGAAGCCAAAACTGTGCTAGAAACCAGAAGGTTATCAGATATAATAATTGTATTTCCATGTCCGGATATTCAGTGGGCACTTTCAGTGGTCATTGTGTTGTTGTTATTGTTGTTGTTGTTGTTGTGGTTGTTGTTGTTGTTGTTGTTGTCATCATCGTACCGAACCCACGACCCACAGATTGCCATGAGTGCTGGGGGAGAGCTAGGATTATTACATGTATTACGGAAAAACAATATCACTTTCGGGTTCTCTTTTCGTTAATTTCAAGAGAAAATTGTAATTATTGTGACGTGGTTTAAGTGGCAAGTAAACATGTGAGTATATAATATGTTTGACAATCTACAGTCTTGTCTTATCTCGTTGCATAGTGTACAACATACCAAAAAACGTATTTTTATAAGGTGTTTATGGTATTTTGATGTCTATTGAACTGTTGGCGTTTTGCCCAATATTATGAAGAAACATGATATTATAAATAAATCGTTGGCAAGCTGTTCAATTGAAGTCCAGAAAGCAACATTTTTCAGGCGAGGGAGAAAAGAGTATTTATTTTTTAACAAATTGTATCTACATTATGTATTTCTTTTCGTTTTAACAAAGAATTTAATATTTGAATTTCGAAAAACATTTCTTGTGCACATGCAACAGGTACAACAAATAAAGAAATTGCTATATTTTGATTTTTGTTTTCAAAGTTTTGGGCTAGGTGCGTCTGAACAGCTGGCCTATGAAATTATAATGGAGTTATAATATCATGTACACTCGGTCAAAAGAACCTTTGCACTTAAGTGTTGTTGATATATCGATATAATTGAAGAGTAACCCCCCCCCCCAAAAAAAAAACAAAAAAAAAAAACAAACAAAAAACAAACTAGGGCAGCGCTACTGACTGAAGTTGTCTTTAGGCCATTCCCAAAAGGGGGATATTAACACGTTCATGTGTACAGTAGAATCATAAATGGGCTGATTTATCAATGCCATGCTCATGCTGTACCAGAAGAAGGTAGGGGAACTCCTCCATTTCTTTTGTATGTTTGTCCCTCTCTTGTGAACTGCTTTTTCTGGGGTGCCTTGATAATCGAAGCAGACTTTGTGCTGTTGAAGCAAGAGAAGTGAGTAGAGTAAGCCTGCTTCCTCGTTTGGACTTCTCTGTTGACATCCA